TCTGTTCTCCAAGAATATATCCTGCGTGCTCGCGTGGATGCACAAATACTGCACCATCTGCTAGGTTTTTACAGGTTGAGTAGTAAGAACTTTCTCTACACATGGAAAGCACATTGTGGACTCTTTGTGGTGGGAAGCATCGTGCAGTTGAAAAGGTTGAGACAAGTGGTTGGACTAACTCCTGGCACTGTTCAGCCTGAGGAGCACCTTCAAAAAACGGGCAGAGGTCATCACAAGAAATCACTTTCTATTTAAATTCTGAGCTCTTGAGCTAACATTCGCTAATTATGACAACGGATGCACCGAAGGACCCCTCTTCACGCATCCTTTTGAACCACTGTAACCTGCCACCTGGTAGGTTCTTTTTATAGCCACCTTAACTTCTGGCTTCAAGAAATATTTACTGGAAAAACACTGCACTCTACACTGGAAAAGCGGACGGAAAGGAAAGCGGCTTTCCTCCCGGGCTGGACTAGGGCCCTCTGGTTGGCGCGTTCAGTCTGCACAGCACCGCTGGAGGAGCCTCCACCACTGAAGCAGCCTTCTTCGGGGTGCACTCAGTGTGGCTGCTCATCAGTTTTGCTGGGACAAAAACCGGAACTTTCATTCTGGGGTCTTTTGTAATATGCAGTTAGTCTAAACCCTTCATTAAATAACACTGACTTGTGATCATCAAATTTCCTCAGTTCACCATGTGCTAAAAGCTAGAAAGAAGACTGCAGCCCCCAAATTCCAACAACTTCTGAAACAAACTCTTTGTTGGGGAGGAAGGATTTTGACATTCCATTCACAGTCTCCACTTGTTAATGTTGTGTCTTGTTTGTTTCTTTAGGCACTTTCGGATCCTTTCTAGGGGCGTCCTCGTGTTTCTGTTTCGGAAAACAGACTCCAGCACCACAGTCAAAGGTTTGACTTGCAAACTGTGTCACGGTGTGAGCTTGGGCATGATCTGAGAACGACTCTGTTTCTAAGAGAATCATCTTTGCAGGGTACGCACAGTGCTGCTTCCATCCCTGCAACTGCCCGGGTGTGGGATGCGGTGATAGCACTACTATGATGGCTGTTCTTACAGAGGTTAAACTATGAATAGATGATTAAAACTGAATATAATGGCCTTTAAATAGGTGTTACATGAACTGATTTGTTCTCCAAGAATATATCCTGTACGCACGAGTGGATGCGTAGGTCCCCACGCTGTCTAAAATAAGCTGCTTTTGGGCTGGGGATTTAGCTCAATGGTTCCGCCACCTGCCTGATAAGCGCAAGGTTCCGAGTTCAATCCCCGGTACCAAAAAAAGTAAAATAAGCTACTTTACACTACTGCGGTAGAGAGTGTACAGCACCACCTATCAAAGTGAAGAAACTAGAACAGGCAGCAAGGATGTTGACCTTGGAAATATGAATAACCAGAAAATGAACCTAAACTGAAATAAAATGAAGAAATTCTCAAAGCCATCGGTAGCGAAGAAAACTAAAATTGTTAGCACAAGGAAAAACTTTCCCCCCAAACTGTGATACAAGGTGTGGGCAAGTGTGGGGAAATAAGCAAGCCCAGTCCCACTGAGTGGAATGAAGAGCACGGAGTTCTTTGGAGGAAAATTTAGAAGAAGTGCAACGAACTTAAACGCCCAGGGTTTTCGAGCCAAAATTTTTACTCTGAAAAACTCATTCATCATATTTGTGGCCACATGGTAAACAAAGGGTGTCCCTGTTAAGCCATCCACCCCCTCGAAAAGCAAACAGGAAAAAATAACCCACGTTGGTACAAACTAACAAAGTTCACAAATAAAGACAGATATAAATTAGTAAATCCTCAGTTTCCAGAAATATAGTCAAAACTGAAACTCCAGCAGGAAAAGTACATAACAATGGTCCATGTGGATCTTGACACAGAAGGCCTGAAATTTTCATTTTCTCTGATGAACAGAAGAGAAAACCTTTTGCAGAATGAAGCAGAGAAATGGGACTGAGGTGCTGACATACAATGTCTAGCAGCAGGCAGCCCTCAGGCTAAGGCCAAACGCTCTCTATCCCTGATCTTTTCTCATAGTCCACGGAGCTGTCTGTCCAGGTCTGCAAGAGCTTGGAGGTGCAATCTATTAGTCATCTATATATTTTCAGCAATAGAAATCTGAAAGTTCTGCTTTAGTGTTAAATTTGCCTTTCCTCATGAAAACGATAGCCTCGTAGCCAACTATACAGCTTCTGGTGGTGGGGATGAAGGTGAAGGTGAGAGGCGTTCACTACCCAGCTGGAGAGAAGTCTAAGGCCGAGTAAAGAACCTGGCCAGACACACGTGCGTATCGCTTGCACAAACAACCCAGTCTACTAGAAGTCTGCAGACGGCACAAGCAGTGCAAGCAGGGAACAGCACCTAAAGAACAAGAGAACATAAGCCATTTAAGAGATTACTACTGAAAACATTTTTAAGTGCTTCAAGAGATCCAAGAAGCAATAGAAACCTAAATAAAAGAATAAGATACCACAAGAAACGCTCAACAGATTTGCACAGAATGAAGCGGAGTATCTGGAAGCAAAGGACACATCATAGAAACAAGAAACCCGAGCGCTGCTGGAATGAGGGCCAGGCCCAGCCGAACAGGGGAGGAGCAAAGCAGGAGGCAGATCTCCGGGAGGGGAGCCCTGGAGCAGCCCTGAGCAGTACAGAGAGAGCAGACCGGGCCGCGCAGGAAGACTGGAAATCCCAAACTTTCATCTAGGAGTTCTCGATGGTGAGAAGAGACAGGGAAGGGCCACCCTTGGGAAGCACAGCAGAAGACGTGCAGAATTGAGAGAGGCCTCTTCTGTTTGTTAGACTGAGTTTAATAAGGAAACAGGAAAAGTCCGCACATGTACCCTCGCTTGGGCCACTTGGTTCTGCCTTGATATTCCTCATGGTGCGACCAGAAAGGGTCTGTATAATATACGGGTCCACTTTCACTCCCACCGGCCCAGTTCGCTTCTTTTTTAAAGTTCCTGTTAGAGACAGATACAGTGGCTCACACCTGTAATCCCAGCATTTGGGAGGTTGAGGCAGGCAGAAGGATCACCCTGAATTCGAGTCCAGCCTGGGCTACAAAGTCAGTTCAAGGCCTGAACCACACAGTGAACCCTCAAGTTCCCGTTAAGAGTTCCATGTATTATTTTTACTAACCGAAGCAATGCAACATTACTACACAGCAAAGAACTGGAACGGAGAGGACCGAATTAAATGAAATGGTGGAGTCCACAAGTGTATGCCACTTCAATGTGACTGTGATAGTAGGTTCGGGGCACTTGGACTGCCAAACTGGAAGCTAAGATTCACCAAGACCTGGAGTACAGTGAACCCAAGCCCTTCTTCTGATGTCTTTCAATCCTCAGCTTCAGAATAGAACAGGTAAAATTGGAAACTGGGTAAAGCACAGTCTCTCATAAAGGAAAGATAACATACAAGTTAAACCAGTAGAGCCATCTTAAAGGAAAGGCCTTGGGCTTTTACATAAAGTTTCCAAATAATATAAATGTATATATTTCAGTTTAAATAAAATTCTTAACACTGGTATCACCAGGTAAGGTCCAAAAAGTTAAGTTTTTCAATCCATGAACAAAGACTCTTTATCGATGTATTTAGGTGAACTTTAATTTCTTTCAGTAAAATTTGTTCATTCCCAGCATACAAGTATCTCACCTCATTAGATAAACTCACTTCTAGGAATTTTATTATTTCAGTCACTATGTAAGTGAAATTGTTTTTGACTTTTTCCAGTGGTTCATTGCTGATGTAGAGGGACACAATTAAGTTTGTGTATTGATCTTATACCCTGTAACTTTCCTGAAGTAGGTTGTCAATTTTAGTAGCTTTCTCACGGATTATTTGAGATTTGTATACATTGGATCTTGTCATCTCTAGAGACAGTTTTACTTTTTGGATATAAAGATTTGGAAACTTCTTCTTTCTTTCTAATTGCTGGAGAACATCCAGTTCAATGTTGACTAGCAGTGCAGAAAGAGTTACCTTTGTCTTGATCGTTATTTGGGCAGGGAGACACTTTCAGGTTTTCATGACTGAATATGATTTTAAAGGTGGGTTTTTCCTTTATTATGGTGGTGCACTGACTTAAAATTAAGATTCTTTCCACGTATTTCTTTTTTTGTGTGTGGGATCGAACGTGGGGCCTTGTGCTTGCTAGGTAAGCGGCGGAACCACTGAGCTAAACCCCCAGCCTCTCTCTGTATTTTAAAAACAAGACAAGATATTAAAAAAAAAAAAAAACCTACTCAAATATCTTAAAGGAATGGACACTAAGATTTTCTAATACCTGCAGATTTTTTTGAAGGAGAATAAAACCATTGTTTAACACTTTTAGACATTGCTAAGTATTCTTCTAGCAGTTACTTTAAACGTTTAACACATGGCCTTGACTTCTCAAGGTCTACATGCAATTACTATCTTAATTAACCAAGATACTGACCAATAAAAAGAAGGGAAAAGTATAGGAAATTAAAAAATAATGTGATTACTTGGATTAAAATAATTTTTCCTAAATTAAACTCTCAGATTTTATTTTAAAGTTTAATAGTGTACAAATCTTAAAAGTATATAATTATAAAAGTCACACCTACAGTGTAATGGAAAATATATATAAAATATAGAAAGATCTGCACTGAGCTTTACAGAAATCCAGTCCCCCTGCTGTTAGACCAGAAGCCGCAGGAACAGGAAACAGCGGGTGTGGGGGACCCTGGACAGGAAGACGCTGGGAAGGAAATGAGGAACTGAGGAGGCCACAGCACTCGGGCAGGGAGAGCCTGGCTGGTGTCGTCACAGCTGCCACTGTTGTCATCACCTCTGCGGCTGCTGCTGCTGCTGACACCCTGACCCTCAGAGTTCCGGGCCTCCTGCTTCACTCCCTTGACGCCCAGAGTTCCAGAAGCACGCGTCTTGCTGGCTGAGCCTCTGTCTCCGGCAGCTTGGGCAGCACAAGCAGCTCAGAGAACCTCACGTTGAGCAGGGCATTCGGACTTGGTCTCTGGCCAGCAGGAGCAGCAACAGAGAAGCACAGGTTCAACACGGGGAAGCTGAAGACTGTGTAAAACAATACGAGTGAATTTAAAATACTCTGGAAAGGTGCAAGCAATCACCAATGTGGAAGGAAAGGAGTAGACTAAATCGGTCTTTAAAATTCTTTAGACTTACGTGGATGTTTGCACATTTTTATGATGAAGCATTCATGTATGGCTTGTGTATTTTTAGATATATAAGTTTTAAAATTAAATCTAAAAGGAACCCTCTCCTTTAAGAGAAAGAATTATATACCCATAGCACTTTTATATTTTCATGGAATAATTGATGAAAACCTTGCTTCAGCAAAATTCAAGGGAGGAGAAATCTTGCCGGGACTGTAGAGATTTCACCGTTGGCTAATCTACTTTTTTTTTTTTTTTTTTTTT